ATGTCAGGCCTCTTGCTAAGTGTTCTTATATCTTAAATTAACCCATTTCTATAAATCTATACCTTGCCATGTGGCTCGTGGCTTACCAGCATCTTCACATGCTGCTTGTCATGGTGGTGGCTGGCAGTGTCTCCCTGACTCAGCCTTCCACTTCCCAGAATTCTCCTCTCTCCTTGTCCTGCCTATACTTCCTGCCTGGCCAGTGGCCAATCAGTGTTTTATTTATACAGAATGATATCCACAGGACTTGGTGCTTGCTGGCAACATCGGTGAGCTCCAGGTTTAGTGAGAGACCCTGAGTCAAAAACAGGTGGACAGTGTCTTGGAGTTTTTATTACTGTGAAGAGACACCATGACCATGGAAAGTCTTATAAAGAAAACATTTAATTGAGGTGGCTCACTTACAGTTCAGATGTTCAGTTCATTATCATCATGATGAGAAGCATGGCAATGTGCAGGCAGACATAGTGCTGGAGCTGAGAGTGCTACAACTTGCAGGCAATAGGAAGTTGACTTTCAGTCACACTGAGGAAAGCTTGATCAAAAGAGACCTCAAAGCCCATCCCCACAGTGACACATTTCCTCAAACAAGGCCACACTTCCTAATAATGCCACTCCCTTTGGGGGTCATTTTCCTTCAAACCACCACAGGTAGTGATTGAGGGAGACATCTGGTGTCACCCTTTGTGACCTACAAGATAAATAGGAGAGAGAGGGAGAGAAAGAGAGAGAGAGAGAGAGAGAGAGAGAGAGAGAGAGAGAGAGAGAGAGAGAGAGAGACTTTGAGTTAACTACAAGAGTTTGGGCCTTGCTTTGCTTCTTTGCTCTGTGTTATGTTATACAACACTTCCTCCTGTTTTTCTACCATATAGCAAGGGCCATTGTCAAATGCCAGTACGTGGAGACAAGACTTCCTTGGCTCCAGCAATGTGAGTCAATAAATTTCTGTTCATTCCTAATTAACCAGTCTGTGAAATTCTTACTAAAGAGTCACATGGTGGACTAAAACACCTATGTTTTTTTTCCCAGTTACCTCAAGATACTTGGCAAGATACTTAGATGAAATAGTACAAATTTGCACCTAACAGGTAGGTTTTTAATTTCTTTAGTGAGCTTTAACAAAATACCATATTCTAGGTAGCTTAAAAATAGAAATCTTTTTTTCATAGTTCTAGAGTTGGAAAGTCCAAAGATTTCAGCAGATTTGGGGATGGGTGAGGACCTGTTTCCTGGCTTCCAGGTGGTGCCTTCTTGCATCCTCTCATGGAGGAGGGAGTAGCTAGCTCCCCCAGGGTTTCTTTCAAAAGGGCACTAATTCCAGCTGTGAGGGCTCCACTGTCATCACCTAATCACCTTCCAAAGATGCTCCTTTCTATCACCATCCCTCTGGGCCTTAGGATCTCAGCATGAATCTGAGAAGACCAAACATCAAGACTGTAGCAGGCTCAAAGACTGTGTCTACCTATGGCTGGCCAGCAAAGCTGCTTTCCTGTAGAACTGAGGAAGCACTGACTCACACAGCAAGGTGATGGATGAAGGTGATTAGCCCACAGTGGACATTTGACTCATGACTGTGGGGTTCTCTTGCTTCCTAAAGGTTTATTTATTTATTTATTTATTTATTTATTTATTTATTTATTTATTTATTTTTATCCTTTTTTCTTAGAAATGGAGTGTGAAATGCTTTCTTCTCTGGCTGTCATTCTATTGCTGATGACAAATGCTGATGCTTTGTCTGGAACTTGGTGAACCACCAGCTCATTGGTACTGCCTGGTGCATATGTACTAAAAATTAAAAGACTAACAACCTTCTGAATTTGCACAGAACTTCCTTTCTGGAGCTTTTATTTTTGGCAAATGTGTGGGAGGACTGGGAAAAACAACAGAAAAAAAATGAGAATTTTGTACTGACAAATATAATCATAAAAGTTTAAGTTTGTAGCTAATTTTTAAAAAATAGGTAGAAATATATTGCCTAAACTAATGATTAAGTGTTGCCATATTAATTTTTACAGTAAGATTTTTGGGGTTTATTTTTGTTTATTCCACACATATTTTTATAAAGACTTTAACTGATCTATGAAATTACTATAATAGAAGGGATTTTTTTTTTTAATTACTGCTGGGGGCAAGGGTAGGAATAAACAGAAACTACTCAGGTGCTGAATTTGGTTGTTACCATCCTTTAAAACTTGACAAATTACGAGAACTTAGAGCCCACATTCTGCCTAACCCAACCATTCTGCTTTGAGGAAGTTATTCTTGAGAATAAACATTTGTCTCTGTTACACAATTGTTTATAATGACAAATAACTAATAACAATTTAAACATGTGCCAGGGAGAAATGACATTATATTCATTTTGCCAGATAGCATGCAGTTGTTTAGCATATATCATAGATTATTACTTAATTTTATTAAAAAGTTTCAAGCCAAGCATGGTGGTGTGTGTCTGTGATTCTAACACTTGGGAGACAGACTGGAGGATTGAAGTTCAAGACCAGCCTTAGCTACATAAGGAGTTTGAGGCCATCCCAGAAGCAAGAGAATCAAATTCATAAAAAGAACCAGTTGGATCCTTCTTCTCATTGTACAGAGAACACCAATCTCTGGTGTACCTTCATTCTATATGGATGGAAATAAATCAGGAAGGCAGAATATAAATCAGGAGATTTAAGTAAAGTAGTTCAAAGCCCTTACAATTCTGTATAAACGTTAGAATTGTATGCCATTCTTATGGTACTAATGGACTTTACAGGATCTCTCAATGTAGTTACTGTCTCACAATATGCAGAAAGAGTTGTGTTACATACTGAAACTGCTGGATTTATTTTTGAGAAAACAGAATTAATTTTGCTATTTATACAATTACAGGAAATAATCAGAAATAGGGATCAATGCTCCAGCATATGTCTTTAGTAAAATGAAACAGATTTTTGCATATTATAATATAAAGCATATTACAGGTACACCACACAATCCTACAGGACAAGTGGCTGCAGGAAGATCAAATTGCACTTTAAAAGAAATGTTTAATAAACAGAAAGGGGAAAACAAAATCGCCAAAGACAGATTGCATAATGCCTTATTCATCTTAATTTTTTAATGTTGATGAGAAAGGAACAACAGCTGAGTAGAGACACTGGATAATAGAAAAAACTACTGAGTTAAATCAGCCTGGGTACTTTAAAGATGTGTTGACCTCAGAATGGAAACCAGGATATTGTGCTATGTTGGGGAAGGGGTTTCTCTTTTGTTTCCACAAGAGAAAAAAAAGCTATGGATACCATCAAAATTAATAAAGATCCAAATTTGAACAGGAGAAACCTCTTGATAAGGAGAAATGATGCTCATCCACCAATGTGACAATTCTATAAGTTGTAAGGAAAACTCACCAAACAAGGGTTGGGGCAGGGTTCTGTTTTTTTCTTTACAGGAAAATAGAAATACTCATCTTCAAGAAGTCAAAGACCTGGACATCTAGATGTCTAAAGCAGAAGGGACAGCAATCCAGAAAACATTTACAAGCAAAGAAAAGAGGATCTGTTGGTACCAATATTCTCTGCAGGGTAAAATCTCACTACCTAAACATTGATATCTCTTTACTTCTCAGAAAAGTTGTAGTCCCAATCCAATTAAAAATCAAAGCTGGCTTCGGAGTAGGAACATGACTCTCTCCTCTAAATTCAAGCATGTTGTTAGAAGAAAACACGAAAGAGTTTCTGTCTCATATCAGAAGAGCCACCTGGTGTGGGACAGAAGAAAACCAAAAGTCTAGGGACTATTGTTGTCAAAATTCTATTTCTCCCCATACTCATTTTTGACTCTTTGGAACCTTTTGTTAGATATAGTGCTATCCTCAAATTTAAACTTTCACTCTTGATGTTAATAATGTTTAAGTTTTCTACAGTGAACAATAAAGTTTTCTAACATCGATCTCTGAAGTCTCCAGAAGGAAGATGGGGCCCCCACAACAATGTTTCTACCTGGTTCATAATGATGCCACTGGGCCATAACCACCACTCAAAGATTGGCTCTGGACTACAAACTGTTCAGGACAGTTCCAACGTGGCTGAGTAAGATAATCCATCTTCTTACACCTCTAGTTAGAACTTCACATAAGCTTTACCCATTAATCTGAGACTGGCTACAAACATTACAGCTAGCCCTTATGAGACTTAACCATTATTTTAGTTTTTTACAGGATCCCACAGAGATACTGTCACCCCCTAGACAGCAGGAAACAATTTTAAGAAAATGACACCCCCTCTCCCAAAAGGTTTTGTTTCCTCAGGGTTATGGATAATTGTCATCTGTTGGGAGTTGGTTATAAATGTAATGGGATTGGGGGTGGAACAATAAAGTTTAGACTCAGGGTTCTCTTTTGGGAAAGAAAAATGGGCAATAGATGGGATAGGATAATAAGGGAGATTATTGTATTTACTTGTAAACTAAATCAGTAACTATGAGCTTTAGATAATTTGCATTGGTATGGATTCTTATATATTGATACAAATGTAAAATTATTCTTCTATTCCTATTTAAGATAATTTGTATATTGATACAAATACAAAACTACATTTGTCATATTGTACATACATTCCTACTCCTGTTTGAAATATTTTGTATATTGATACAAATGAAAAATTATATTTGTCATACTATATGTATGTTCTACCTCTGTTTAGGATATTTTGTATATTAATACATATTAAGGATATTGTCATATTGCACTATACATTTCTACCTCTGATTGAGATATTTTTGTGTATTGTCACAACTTCAAGGTCATTGTCCCTACACTGTACATCTATTTACAGATTGTTTATTTTTATAATGTGAAGCCTTAGTTTTTAAGTTATTTAGGTTGATAAGAATTACAAGTTAATAGTCACCCATGCTTGTGATATTCATAGTCATGTTAGTTAGGTTTTCTAGATATACAGAAATATATGTCAGATGGATAGGTAATCTTCAAATACTTCATATCTAGAGTATGGCATTTAAATGTTTTAATAACATAGAATTCTGTTGACATGAGGCACAATTGCTCCTTGCAGCACTGATCTACTCCTAAGAGGATGTTGGGCATTGAAGATACTACATATAGAGTTTTTCTTCTTCTTGGGAAAAAAAAAATGGCCTGTTGGGCAAAGAATTGCCCTTACCTTGGCTGCTGACAGTAAGCACACTGTCCATTCTGGACAAGCAGGACACAAGGAAAAGTGACTGCTGAAATTTGCCAAGACAGGGT